CCCTTCCTCATGAATCGAGAATGAAGCAATAACAACAAAATCCCTTTTCACGTGTCCTTAGAACCGGGTTGTTTGGGCATTACGAAACACCTGCAATATTGCAACTGCAACTCCGTGCACTATTAGAGGAAACGAGGCGGCCGATTTGCCCAAGACAGAGGAGGTGGATTCCTCGCTGTTAATTGAATTACTCGCGATGTCACAGGAGGTTCTGCTTAATGCTCTTAAATTAGTGCGACAACTATTTTCCTTCGCTCCCTCTTGCGTAAAGCTCGCAAATTATACCCGGGTTTCTTTTCTTCTTGTTGAGGCGAGGATGTACTCGAGAGCTTGGTAATCACCGGTGGCAACGCGTCCGTGATGTATCTCTAATAAACAGGTGATTATTATCATTTTCATCACGCGTCATCAGCGTCATGGTCGTTATCATTTTCGTCTCACCATCACCACCGCCATCATCGCTTTCATTACTTCCATTATTATCATTTTCACTACATCAATACCATCACAATCACCACATCATCATTTTCACTACATCACTACCATCACAATCACCACATCATGATTTCACCACATCACTACCATCACAATCACCACATCATCATCACTATCACCACATTACATCACCATCATCTTCACCACCACATCATCATCACACTCACCACCATAACCTCGTTCCAGCAAGCATGAAGGCCCGACAATCCAAAAGGCTTACACTGGCTTTGTTTGGCACACACACACGTACCTCGGGGCAAAATAATTTCGTTTCGTTTCTAACTGCGGCGCTTGATATCATTACCCGTTGCGTGTCATGCCGTTTGAGATGCCTTGTCTGTTGGCCGTGAGGAGCTCCGAGGGCCCGCCGGACAGAATGAATGCGTTGGGCGAATAAACAGAGGCAGGTCCGTGGCTGTTCTCCCTGGATGCGATATATGCCGTGTTGTGATTTTGTCTACGTGGGAATTTAGCTCGCGTTCATGTTAGTTTTACTGTGGTATTGGTTGGGTTCATTGGGTGGGATGGTTCGTGATCGTGATGTTTATAAGGAGGATTATATGAGGTATTAATTGGAGAATGGTGATGAAGATGTATAGGTTGCGTTGTTTGTGGTTTAGAGTACAGTAAATTAGATTTTGTTTCGGGTAGATCAGTATATTTTGGATCTGTCGGATTTCCTGCCGCTCAGACAACTTACCCGTTGTATGCGCGGATAGATTGGATATATAGATAGATTTCGTTT